GGCTTTTTTCTTATGTGGTGCTGAGGAATCGAACCCAGGGCCTCAGGCATGCAAGGCAAGCGCTCTACCACTGAGCCACCTTCCCAGCCCTGTTGTTGTTATTGTTGTTTGTTGTTGTTATTTTTGTTTGTTGTTGTTTGTACAGGTACTGAGGCTTGAACACAGGGCCTTGAGCTCTCTCTTGGCTTTTTTTAAAATTCAAGATTGTGCTTTATCCCTTGAGCCACAGCCCCACTTTCAGCTTTTTTTTTGCTGGTTGATTGCAAATAAAAGTCTCAAGAACTTACCTGCCTGGCTTGGCTTTGAGCTGTGATCCTCAATCTTAAGTGTTCTGAGTAGCCAGGATTACAGGCCTGTACCACCAGTATCTGGTTCTCAGTCTCAGTTATTATACTCCTGATGATTACCTGTTTCTGGGGACCCACAAAAAGATACCCTAGCTAGTCCCAGTGATAGCATCCTTGCCCAGATGGCTTGCTCCCAGTGGGTCCCCGAACTTCTTCTTGTCCTCCAATCAGGGGTCCTCACTGTGGTGAGGGCAATCTTTCCCTCACGCAGACAATCACAGCACTAGACTCAGAGGCTCTCCAGGGCTCTCTATCTCCCTTTTAAGATAAAAATCCTCCAAGTGACCCAGGAGATCCTGTGTGCTGTGGCCTTATGGCTGCCTCACATCTGTTCCTGGTAGCAACCAGGGCCGCTCAGATCTGGGTTCAAACACCACCTTCTCCCCCAGTCTCAGGCAGAACACACACTCTTTATTTATCTCACTGTCATTTTGCATGGACTCATAATTAACTGAGGCATGTCTCTCTCCTGCCCACAGTCAGAAGAGCTAAGGCATCCTCCTTATGGTCTAGCCTTCTCTTCCTTCTCCCGGAGCTGGCTGTGATAAGGCAACCACATGCATAGCTAAAAATCCCACCTTCAGCTGGAAGCCCACAGCTCAAGCCTTTAATCCTAACTACTCAGAAGACTGAGATCTGAGGATCATGGTGTGAAGTCAGCTCCAGCAAGAAAGTCCATGAGGCTCCTATCTTCATTTTTAAAAAGCTGCAAGTGGAGATGTGGCTCAAGTAGTAGAGCATCAGCCTTGAGCAAAAAAGCTCAGGGACAGTGCTTACTTAGGCCCTGAATTCAACCCCTAGGAATCCCCTTCCTTCCTCCCCTACACAAATAATTTCACCTTCCAGCCTCCATTGTAGACAGGATGGTCCGGAGGGGAGGTAGAACCAGAAGCCTCCTGGACTTGCAGGAAAGCTTGGTCCCTCAGGATGCCTTATCATCCTTCTTGATGCACAGAGACTCTCCTCTCCTCCCTGGAGGTGCAGCAGCCATTGTATCACCAAGAAGTCAAAAGCCACACATGAAATTAAAGGGCAGGGAAATCTGAAATATCTGACAGCTTGGAACTTTGCACCAGCTCTGGGCTTTTTTTTTTGCAGCACACAACCAAGAAACCCCTATTTGGTGAAGGATCTGCTCCCAAGCATTCCTAAGCGATGGGTGGGGTCTGGGCTGGCTCGCTTGCTTCATGTTCTGTCCTCTAACATCTTCACCTGATACCAGCAAACATGAAATCAGTGTTATCTGAATGAATGCTTTTAATTCCATAGTCATCTCTAAAAATAGACACAGGGATAGAGGCCTTAGCAATAGAGACATTAGCGATTTGTTGAAGATCACAAAGCCATCTAAAAGACTGGGTTTCTTTTTTTTTTTTTTTTGGGTCCGGTTGTGGGGCTTGAACTCTGGGCTTGGGCGCTGTCCCTCAGCTCTTCAGCTCAAGGCTAGCACTCTACTGCTTGAGCCACAGTGCCACTTCCGGCTTTTTTCTTTTTGCTTATATGGTGCTGAGGAATCGAACGCAGGGCCTCATGCATGCAAGGCAAGCGCTCTACCACTGAGCCAACTTCCCAGCCCCAAGACTGGGCTTCTTTATTTGTCCCTTTACATCCCTTTGTCTTTTTAAGTTGAAGTCAAATCATATATTTTAAAGTCAACCATGAACCATGTAACACGTACAATTCAGTGGCATTTGGCTCATGCATAATCTAATGCTATACAGCAATCACCTCCATCACATTTTGAGATATTTTCACACCCCAAAAGGAAGCCCTGGATGCATCTTGCAGTCTCTCCCCCACTGACCCCAGACAATCCCAGTCAACTACAAATCCAATTCCTGTGCTAGTGGATTTACCTAATCTGGGCATTGCACTGAAGTAGAATCAACATGTGGTGGCCTTTCGTGTCTGGCTTGTTTCACTTGGCACCAAGGTTTACCTATGTTGTCGTGTGCATTAGTATTTCATCTCTTTTTAAGGTTGAATCACAAGCCATTGTGTGTAATGATCCCATTCAATGTGTCCATCATCCTTCATGGACGTTTTAGATTGTTCCCACCTCTTACCTGAGATAACTTGCCTGCTGTGAACTTTTGGATACCAATGTTGGAATTCTTGTGGAGTTTCTTAATTCTATACTCTTAGCTGAGAATGGCAAGGAGGAGAACTTAAGAAAGGGAATGATTTTATCCTTCTTGCTTTTTTGAGGGGTGGGGGTGCTAGGGATTGAACCCAAGACTTTCCACTTGCTAAGAAAGTGCCCTACTGCTTTAGCTATGTCCCCAATACTTTCGTTCTTAATTTGTTTTTGATATAGTGCCTCACTAACTTTCCTCCTGGACTTGAACTCATGACCCTTCTACCTCAGCCTCTTCAATAAATAGCTTGAACCACAAGAGAGCATCGCCAAATCCAGGCTTTTATGTTGAGGTGGGTCTTGAAATCTGTTTTTGCTCACACTGGCTTGGAATCAGTTTTCATGATCTCAGCCTCCAGCAGAGTTGTGATGACAGGCATGAGCCACTGGTACCTGGCTTTTACATACTTTATCTCATCTATTGTTAGAATTCTCATCCATTCTATAGATTAGGAGAGGGATGGTTAAATCAGCTGCTTGCAGTCATTCAGCAAGTATGAGACCTCAAGTTTTCCAAGCCCCACACTGAGTCCTCTTCCCACCCTCATCTAAATCATGAAGGCAAAGCATGCATGTGAGGCATATGACCTCACAGTTTCTACAAACTCTCACCTTTTGCACATGAAGAAGCTGGTGGTAAGAAAACACTGGCTAGCTAGGTACCAGTGACTCACACCTATAATCCCAACTACTGTGGAGACTAAGATCTGAGGATCACAGTTTGAAGCCAGCCTGGGCAGGAAAGTCCATGAGATTCTTACCTCCAATTAAACAGCACAAAGCCAGAAATGGAGCTGTGGCTCAAGTGGTAGGGCACTAGCAAAAGCTAAAGGATAGAACCCAAGCCCTGAATTCAAGTCTGAGTACTGACATAAAAGAGAAGAGCGGATGGAAAGGGAGAAGGGAGAAAGAGAGAGGAAAGGTGAGAAAAGAGGGGAAAGAAGAGAGGGAGAGAGAAGGGGAAAGGAGAGAAAGGGAGGAGAGAAAGGGAGAGGAATGGTCTGGCTCTCTACACAGGTCCAAGACAGGAGTGGAGATGCTAGCTCCTTCCTCTGTATAGACCATTTATGGCCCCAGGTGATTGAGTGAGCAGTACTGGATTTTCTCCCAATCTCCAACCCACCCTGGCCTTGAATTCATGCTCCCTCAGCCCATGGCACTGGACACGATCCACTTGCAGAATGCACCTGCGTTGAGGTGGGCCTCATACCTGGCACTGGCAGCTCCATGCTCGCATCCTCTCTGTCTCTGGAGAGCTCCTGCAGGCACTGGGTCTGCTCCTCCTGCATCACACGTAGCACATCACACAGGCGGGGCAGGGCTCCAACCTGAAAGCCCAAGCCAAGGGTGTCACCATTGCCACACATCAATCAGATTCGCTCACGGGGATTCAAACATGAGGAAGGCAGAATCCAAGGAGCTTGGGAGCATGACCTGTAGTCTGTCCACTATAAAGCTTGCTCTTGGGTTTATCAAGAGTCTCAAGTTCAAAAAGTAGTTTGTTTCTCGGGCACCTTATTATGAGTTTATAAGACGTATTTTATTGCAGTCCAGCTGCGCAGCCATCTTAGTTTTTGAAAGCTTGTTTTTGAGTCAGGCAAGTTCATTGGACCCCACACTCAGCCACTGGTGTTCCCCTGAAGAAAGCCCAGACAATGGGACCACAAGGATGAAGGGGACGGGGTGAGAAGAGGGGCTGGCTCACATCCTAGCATCCTCGCTCTTCCCAAGTTACACTCACTGCACAGCTCTCCTACTTCATTGGTGCCAGAGAATAAATAGATGAATAAATGAATGAGCAACTGAATGGACAAAGGAATGGATTCCCACTCTTGCTACAGATATGAGTATGTAATTTTAATATTATGGAGCCCTTCTGAATACGTTAGTTCATACAGTACTTTTTTGTTTTTAATTTCGTATTGTTATTATAAAGGAGTTACAGTTACATAAGTCAGGTAAAGCATACATTTCTTTTTGGACAATGCTACCCCTTCCCTTACTTTCCCAGTTTTCCCCTCCCATCCTGACATACGAGTTGTATAGTTCATCTAGTTTCACATAGTGACTAGTGACTATCACTGCTTCATTCTTTTTCACCCTTTGTCCCTCCATTTCTGTGTCCCCCTTATCATCCCAAAGACAGACTGAACAAACAAACAAGACACAAAGAAAACAAAAACAACAAAGGGAAAAAAAACCTCTTGTTTCCATTTTCTGGTGTTTATTTGGATAGATAATATGTGATCAGAGACACAAAGGCATTGTGTCTTAGAATAGGCTCCTTTGGTCTTAAACTGTGTGTGAATTCTTTGAGTCTTGAGTTCATACAATGTTCTTATATATGCAGAGAAGAAAACCGAGTTTTATGGTGATGGGAATGTAACCAGGGTAGCATGCTCAGAATCATGAGTGGTCTATCTAGGCTGGTTTTGAACCATGATCCTAAGATCTCAGCATCTTGAGTATTCAGGACTATAGATGCCCAGTTAGATACAATCTTTTTAATGCATATAAGCACCCTATCTCAGGAAAATTAGGAAATGTTTGTATTATTTGGCCAACTAACTCTACTCCTGAAATCCATCTGATATGTGGAGAAGGATTTTAAGAGCAACTTTCTTGATTGATTGATTGATTGATTATTGCTGGTCCTGGGTTTGAACTCAGGGCTGGGGTACTGTCCCTGAGTTTCTTTTATTTTTGGTCCAGTTGTGTCCCTCAGCTCTTCAGCTCAAGGCTAGTGCTCTACCACTTGAGCCACAGTGCCACTTCCGGCTTTTTTCTTTTTGCTTATGTGGTGCTGAGGAATCAAACCCAGGGCCTCAGGCATGCAAGGCAAGCGCTCTACCACTGAGCCACCTTCCCAGCCCCCTGAGTTTCTTTTGTTCAAGACTAGCACTCTAACACTCTATCACAGCATCAGTCTTTTTCTGAGTAGCTTATTGAAGATAAGAATCTCATGGACTTTGCTGCCCTGGCTGGCCTTGAACTGTGGTCCTCAGATCTCAGCCTCCTGAGTAGCTAGGATTACAGGTGTGAGCCACCAACCCGCGCCTGGCTAAGTTTGTATTTAACAGGAGGAATAAAGATAGGCTTCTATGTCAAGAAAATGGGTCAGATATATATTTTATTATTTGAAATAAACACAAACACAATCCTAGCTATTACAAAAAACAATAAGAAGATTGGAAAGGTGGAGCTGAGAAGGCAGGTGAGCTAGAATCCTCAGGGCTGGGGACTGATAATCTAGTGACTTCTGCCTTGTATGTCATAGCACTGGAGCTGAAGAAGCCAACCCTAAGGAACAACCACCAGGTACAAACCAAAAAAGCCCCAACCAAAGCCTGCTCTCACTAGCCACAGACAAGACAGAGCTCTTGCCAAGACAGAAGACTTTTCCATACAATCTTCTTACTCCAGCCAAATATCCTTCCTCCCCAAAAACGGCCAAGAGGGAATCCAGAACAGCCCTTTTTCCCCCAAAAGCAGGACTTGAACTGGATCTCTGAGGCTTTGACAGATTGGCTGGCACTCTACCACCTGAGCCATGCCTCCCAACCTTTTCACCAGCTATAACATGGAACTTGAGCCTTGGTGATGTTGGGGGTAATGTGTATGTTTCATGGGGCCTACAAACACTGGCCAGGGCAGAGTTAGAGAGGTTAAATGGGCAGCTGGAACTTTCATCCTGTTCTGTGGTCATGAAGGCCCCAGCTTGTGGTGTCAGTGGAGATGATTTTCTGCCCCAACAGAAGCAATGATGTGCTCCTCAGCCCTGAGGATGGCGTCAGAGGAGGCCTCATAAAGATCTAGGACTTTCTTGTGGCCATGAACCTTGCAGTGTCGATGGAGACCATGTTGGCACTCTCCCCCTCCCCCACCACCTGTAACTACCAGCACCCTTGCAGGTGTCAGATGACTCAGAATAAGAAGCTAAACTTCTATTTCTACCTCACAGTAAATACACAGCACCCACCCACCCCTCCACCTGTCAAAAAATTAAACAAGAGTTTAAAATAAAAACCAATCTCAAAATGTAACATTTATCCTACTGAGAGCTAGCAGGACTTCAGATGTGTAGAAATACAAGAAAGATCCCAGTGCTGACGGTTCATGCCCATAATCATAGATACTCAAAGGCTGAAATCAGAAGGATTGTGGCTTGAAGCCAGCCTGAGAAAGAAAAGAAGCCACGAAAGTGCTTCTATGAAACATCTAGCAAAAAGCTGGAAGTATGGCTCAAGTAGTAGATTGCTAGTCAAGTAAGCAAGCCAAGCAAGCATGAAGCCCTGAGTTCAAACCCCAATGTCTCAAAAAGAAATAAAAAGAAAAAAGAAGTAAGGGTAAAGGAAGGAGGGAAGGATGGAGAGAAGAAAAAAGGAAGAAAGGAAGGAAGGAAAGAAGGAAGGAAGGAAGGAAAGGAGGAAGGAATGAAGGAAGGAAGGAGAAAGAGAGATTTCAGCAGAATCAGTGAGTAAAGTTAGAGAAGAATCAAATTGAAAATGACAACAATTAAAATTATATTTTAAAATGGAAAAGGACAATAATCAAAATTAAAAGCTCAGTATATAGGTTTAACAACAGAATGGGAGTAGATGGGAGACAGAGTAAGAATTAGTGGGACAGAAGGCAGAATAGTAGAAATTATTCAATCTGAACAACAGAGGGAAAAAACTTAATATAAAAAATAAAAGATTTTCCCTCTATATGGTATCTTCACAATAAAAAATAATAAATAATAAAAATAAAAGATTTTTTTAGGAACTTGTGGGAGATATATAAAAATCTAATATTTACCCCTTAAGAATTTCAGAAGAGAAAGATGGTGCTGCTAAAAACATGTTCTAAGAAATGGCTAAAAAATCCCAAATCTAGAAAGACACATATATTTAGGTTCAACAAGCTGAAAAATCACCAAAAAGATTAAATCTAAAGAAATTAAAAGCTCAGAAAACAAACATGAAACACAAAATATCAGAATTAAGCCATTGTACATCAACAATAACACTAAGTATAAATGGTCAAAATATATCAAGTAAAAGAGATATGGTTCATAATAGTTTAAAACACAAACTATGGGTGTCTACATGAAACTTAAATGGCAAAATATTTAACTAAAATTATACATAAGCAGCTAAAAGCCTTAAAAAAGATAAGTAATCCAGATGTTGACCAAAGAAATCAAGTGTGACTATATTAATATAAAATAAGGGTATACAGCCAAAACAATAACTAGACATAGAAAAGGACATTGCATAATTTAAATAGACAATAAGAAACACATAGCAATCTTAAATGTACATGCACTAAAAACAAAGCTTCACAATATGGGAAGCAAAAACTGATATAGAGACAAATACACAACCTTTGTTTCTTCACTGCTTTCTTAACAAATGATAGAACTACTATGCAGAAAATCAGCAAGAGTATAGAAAAATACCATCAACCAACACAATACACTCAACATTTACAGAATAATTCATCCAAGAACAGGAGAATACACGTTTTTATCATGTGCATGTGGAATATCTACCAAAAAGAATATATTTTATGCCATAAGATGAATCATGACCAATTTAAAAGAGCTAAAATCATATAGGATGTGTTTACTGAGCACAATGTAATCAAACTAAGAATCAATAACAGAAAGAAAACAGTACAGTCTCCAAACATTTAGAATTAAGCAACAAGTTTCTAATCAAAGCACAAATTCAGTATGAGAATCAATCAACATAAGCCACCATATTAGCAGGCAAAGAAGAAAAGTCACATTATATAGAAAAATTGTTTACCCATTCAACAAAGTTCAATACCTTCTTGTGGGAAAAAAACCCCAAACATTCAGACAAATAGAAATAGAGGGGAACTTTTCTCAAATTGATAAAGAACATTTTCAAAAATTTGCTAGGCCTTATGTTGACCAACTTTAGGTTGGCATGAAAGTAAAGATGTGTGCTTTCACAATTTTCATTATAGTACCAGAAGTTCTAGCCAGCACAATAAAACAAGAAAAATAAATAAAGGCATAGAGATTATAAAGATGGAGCACCAATTTCTACATAATTACCTATGTAGCAACCATTGGAATCAACAAAAAAAAAATCTCCTAGGACACAGAAAAATGTTCAGCTAAGGTCTTAGATTGCAAGCTTATTTAGCGTATACAAGTGAGTGCATAGACACCAAATTATCACTACAAAGCTTCTTTGTTTTAGCCCACTTTGTGTCACTGCAGCAAATACCTGAGAAAAATCAACATATAAAGAGAAAGGGTTGGTTTTGGTTTATGGTCCTGGCTGTTTTTGATCACGAATGATTGGACATT